TGGAAGTGATCTTAGGTTGAAAGCAAAACTAAAAAGGCAAAAAGGAGGTGAATGCTGGAGAAGTGACTCCTCCAGACGTGCTCTGGTGCATCTCTGTGTAGTTCACACCACACCCAAACACAGTGTCAGCCTCTGCCACTCAGGCTCCTGTGCCTGGGCCCAGACTGTCCCAGAATGGCTGTTGGTGGTGTCCCCTTTCCTCCACTGTCCCTCCTCAAAACCTCAGGACAAAAATCCCTTTTCCCAAATACCAAAGAAATCTGCCCAGCAGCTCCAAACCCACTTCCCCCCAGACCCACACCCCTTTGGCAGCAGTTACCAGTCTGGAGTCACACAGTCCTTTTCTCCTGCTTTGGGAAACAACCTCACCTGTGTCCTGACCTTTACCCAACAGCAGGAGATCCTTGTTCACTGACAAGTTCCAGTGAATTTGTTTTACACGCTCATAAACTAGGGAATAAAATGTCTCTGCCACTTCTCTGTATTTCCAGAGAGCCACAGCAGGGTTTTCTCACTGCTTCTCATTCACCATGTGTATGTGGAAGGTGGGGGATTCTCCCAGACACAGAAGTATTTTGAACTTTGAAGTCCAAATCCTGGCTGAGCTGGAGCTACTAACCAAACTTCTCACCCCTTTCCCACCCTGTGTAAAGCTGAAGAACCCTTCTAGTCCCTTTTTTTTTTCCCTTTGTAAGCCCACCAAGAAAAATAAAGAATGGAGAAGTCAGTCCCTGTGCAGACACCCCTGACTCTCTAGCAGACAGACTCACACCTCTCTCCTGATCCTTGGCCACGTGGATTTATGTCACAGGGAAATGCTGCCTGTCCCCTGTTTGCCTGTCTGTGTTCTACAGACACCACTCCTCTGAACACCTCCAAATCTGCCTGGTAAAAAAATATCAAAGCCACAATCCAGCCTGGATAAAGAACAGTAAACCTCATTCACACAGGTGTGGCAGTTTTGGACTTGAACAATGTCATTGTAACAGGGGTGCCAGAAATCCCCACAGTGAAAACCAAGGCACGGGGATGGTAACTAGGTTTTAGTTTTGTTTTCTCACTTGTCAAAGTCGCACAGCAAAGCAAACTTGCATAAAATATTCAAACTCTCCACAGAGCCACAATTCTTTGTGAACACAGTGCAAAGGTTTGTGCATGACCCTCGTTGGAAGAAACCTGTTTGGAACAGGAGCCTCTGGTTGTTGCCTACCTACAGCTGTTGTAACTATGTCAGTTAATTAATTTAGTCAGTGACAGAAAAATCACAAAGAGGTTTAAAGAGAACCAGCTGAAGCTGGGAAAGCTGTGTGGTGAAGTGATGCCACACCAGCTCTCCCCTCCTCATCTTTTGCTATTGTTTCTGCTCCCTGAGTGCAGCCTCAGTGGGACCTGCTCTGTTCCTTCTCCCTGCCTGGCAGAGCAGGGCTGTGCAGCACTGGGACACCTCACCAGTCCCACCTGGGAGTCCAGCTCTTGCATTTATAAATTGCTGCGTGGCTTAAAAACACATCACCTCTAAAAAGGTCAGAAACCAGGCAGCTCATCACTTTTTCTATGCCTTCTACCCAGCAGTATTTTTCTCTTTTATTATGTTAGTCAGGTGCTAAACAAATAAAATCAATTCTGAACTTATAAAAAGCAATTGGAAATGTCTAGTCCTTTATAGTGAAATCTCAACTGAAGCAGCCCACAGCACTTGGAGAAAAATCAATCATCATTTCCATCCTGCTACGTGTGCTACTAAAATTAAGAATTGATGTTCGGCTGCAAAGGAAAATTATTTCAAGAGAACCACCTTAGCAACAGTTTTCAGTGGTCATAAACCTCCCGTTTAAACAAACATCTACATCCCACCATGAATTGTGAATATTAATGAGCAATCCTGATTTACATACAGTTTCCATCTTAATGGGCATCAAAGTTGCAAGCAGGGCAACAGCACCACTTACTGTAATAGCAGGTAGTAAAGATGTCCTGAGCCTTAAGATGCCATAAACCAAAGTGTTAAACGCCCCTGTAATTACAGCCTCTCCCACATCCAACCCAAACTTCCTATCATTTTGCCAGTGGCCTTTTCATGAAGACAGAGAGCCTGACAAGCTGGAGTGAGGCATCTGAAGAAGCACTTAACTCTGCTGTGGCCTAAATATTCTAGCAACTGTGTGCTCTGTCCATTTGGAAGCACCACTCCTCTGCATCTCCTTTGATTTATTGCAGCAAAGCCTGTGTAACTTGTATGATATTCTGTGCACACCACCTTAATATCCTCTAGTATAAGCCACAGTGAAAACCACCCTTTCCCCCAGACGATTTCCATCCCACCAGCTCTATTCATTAACAGGCACACAGGTGATTTCCACACCACCATGTGGAAGCTGCTGTCTCTCCAACACTCAGGGCCTGTGCAGCATCTGTCTGACACCCTGACCACGGTGCTCTCCCCTCTGGCAACGGGAGCTGCTCCCACTCAGCTCTCCAGAGTTTTCTCAGCCCCTCTGTGGTGGGGTTTGTGGTGGCCACAGCAGTCACTTTGCCCCAGCATGGTTTGTAATCCACCTGTGTCAGGAGTTGCCTGGGAGGACACAGCGCCATGTGCCCTCCAAACCCATCCCAGGATGAATAAAGTGCTCTCAGAAAGGGTGAGGAGGGTGATGAGCACTGCACTAAAAGCAGTTTTTCCAAGTTTTTCCCAACCAGCTTAGCTTGACTCAGCCAACTCTCTCAGCCACTGCTCTCTTCCACACCAATCCCTGGATTCGGTCCCACTTACACCACCCTGTGCTCACTCCTTGTTTTGGTCTTTTAATCAGTGCAATTAGCCCCCCAGGAGTCCTTCTCCTCCCTGGCCTCGATGGCAGAGCAATCCCACCTTCCCAGCTCTCCCTCTGATGCCAGGAGGGACACAGCTCTGCCTTGTCCTGCCTTTCTTGCAACTCACACCCTGTATGTGTTTCAAAAAGGCTTCAGTCAATTTTAGAATTGAAAAACTGACTTGGATAGGGAAATTAGTGCTCCAGTAGAAGGCAAAAGGCAGTGCTCTAGAACACTGTTAAATTTAAGTCTGGAAAATGAACTTAAACAAAAAGCATTCCAGTAATGGACTGTGGCAGCTTTTAGTGAAATCAGCTCCAGCAGTTTGATTTTCCCAGGAACATAGTGAGATATACTCCAGCAGCCTTGAGCCATGGAATAAGCAAGCAGACAGTTTTATGATAAATGGTCCCAGAAACTCAAATTACAGCTGCAGCAAATGAACAGTATGTTTAAATTACTTGGTGGCTTTTCGTTTGGGCCACTGATATCCGGGTGTGCACTGACACCTAGTGGGATGGCCCCGGGCTGGGAGACGAGGGGAAACTCGGTTTATTTTGCTACAGAACATCAACAGCCAGCCCTCCCTGGTGCTAAACATCCTTTCCCATGGGGGGGTGGTTGGAATTAGATATCTTTGGGGTCTTTCCCGATCCAAACCATCCCATGAGTCTATAAATGCCACGAGAAGCCAAAGTGTTGGGTTATTCGTGCCCCTTCCTCTCCTGCAAGCAAAGTGGGTTAGTTTTGATTTCTCAATGCTGCACCTTTGCCAGGAAAAGGGCTGGTTTATCACTTTTCCTCTTGTTCCTGCTCTCCCTGCCCAGGTCACCCCCCTCCTCACCCATGAGCATGGATGGGGACAACAGGAAGGATTTACTGTGGATCAATGCAAGTCTAAGGTGCAGGTGTAGGGAGAGCTCTGCCAATCCTGATGCTAAAATTCAATCTGGTTGAACAGCAGGTTGCCAAAATCAGTGTGATCACACTGGAAATACAGGCTTGGGAATCTTTCCTGGTGTGAGCTACAGCGCTGATGGCAGAATCAGAGTGGTTTAGGTTGGGAGGGACCTTAGAGCCCATCTTATTCCACCCCCTGCCATGGGCAGGGACACCTTCCACCAGCCCAGGTTGCTCCAAGCCCCGTCCAACTCGGCCTCGAACACTTCCAAGGATGGGGCAGCCACAGGTCCTCTGGGCAACCGGTGCCAGTGCTTCCAGAAGTGATCTTAGGTTGAAAGCAAAAATAAAAAGGCAAAAAGGAGAACGGGGCAATCCCTTCCCGAGCAGCTGGGCCCTCCGCTGGCAACACCTCCTTACTGTGCGACCCTCACAGCACTCGTTATCTTTATTTCTGGGTGTGAGAGCATCACTCCACCGCTGCCCGCTCCCCCCGTGCCCCCCCACCCGCCCGGGG